CCGGTTGAATCGGTTGGCATAAAATATTTCGGTTCGGTTAACCGATTAAGAAAAATTTTCTCGGTTCAAATCATTAAAAATAACAACATACCGAAAATATGTACAAGGTTGGTGGTGCAGCTCTCCTGAACTACGAATCATATTTCAAGATTAGTTGTAACATAACACAATCGTTCATTCTGAAAATCTTTTGTGCTCTAACAAAAAGGTTGCGTTAGACAATTTTACTATATAAACTATTTCTCTCTAGATTCTAAACCTAATCCTGACTCTAACCGAATTTTAAGAATGTTGTTTATGCCGCCAACCTTGGTATGCGAAAATACGTACGTACTAAGTCAGGCAGGTGTCCATGCCTAACAAAAAGAATACAAAATCCTAGACATGAGCATAGGCACAGACAAAAATTTGTCATGGGGTATGGGCACAGGTACAAAGAATTTGGCACAAGCATGGGCATAAATACAAAACTTTGGCCAACAACATTTACATATCAATATAAAGATGTAAAATAACTCTACCTTCAAAAATACAGTCATGTGGTAGTGTCACCTGCCGTAGTTGCAGCAGATGAATCAGTATTGGATTTATTGTCTGAAGTGTAGCGAGGACTTACATGTACAAATAAACCTTAAAAAAATTCGTCTGTCCAGCATGTGTTTAAATTGTGATTGGCTGCTTTGCATAGACCCACTAGACATTTGATTAAAAAATGTCCGTCTGTCTGGCACGTGACTATGCTATGATTGGTTGTTACGGTTCACACTAGATCTTTGATTTTAGAAATGTCTGTCTGTTCGCAACGTGACTTCATTGTAATTGGTTGTTACGGTCCATGTGTCCATCTGTCTACTACATAATATTATTCTTATTGGCCGATTAACGATTTTTTTTTATAGCATTTTATACTTTTTTATAATTAACTAATTATTATAATAAATTAGGTTTCGGACTCACAATAGTTCCTGTTAACCTAATACGTAGTGCTATTTCTATGTATGAAAATTTTGATCATTTTTGCATATTGAACATAGGTGGTGCCACCACATGATCTGTATTTTTGAAGGTCACCCTGGTAGAGTTATAGCATAGTTGGCACTTTAATGCCTGTCACATTTGTGTCTGTTGTCTTTATAGTAGCTGTTCTGTGCAAATAATGCATCTAACTAGGAGCATAGACATAGCTTAAGGCATTAGTGTCTGGCATGAGTATTTGCAGAACTTTAGTACATATGTATGTATTGTATTAGTCATGAGTAGAGGCCTGTATTGGGTCCTGCAGCTAGGCTTCTGCAAGGGCTCAAGCTACCTACAGATACCCTAAGGGTAGTATTACACAGACCAGGTTAGGGTATTAATTTTTGGATCCTAGAGTAAGGGTAAGGGTTCAAGTACTAAGCCCTTATATAGATAGGGTAAAGCTAAAAAGCAACAGTATCCTACTCTCATACCTGTGAATACCCAGTACTAAATAACTCACTAATTATAATCTAGTATCAGCTATCACTATAAATAAACTACACGAGATAAGATTATCTTTACTTATCTATAATAAATTAACCTTTGTTTTTTTTTTCTTTGGTTTAACTCTATATTAAATATATGCACTAATTACCAATATATGCACTAATTACCAATGCATAGTTACTAACATACTAGTTATCAACATATTAATTACCAATGCCTTAATTACAAATACACTAATTATCAGCACACTAATTAACAATACACGCATTCTAATCTACCAACACACATACTAATTACACTACCAACACACTGAGCTACCAGTATACTGAACTGCCAACATATTGAGCTATGAAAAGTAAAAGGTTATTAAAAGCCATAGGCAAGATATTAGTATTGCTGCAACTTTTTGCTCATTATATTAGAATGTTAAAAGCTAACATATTATGTTAATGCCATAGCGTCTATTACTAATATAAAATCACAAAGTCATAGAAGATTTCACAAACAATGATGCCTATAATTATGATAATTATGATAATTATGATAATGATATAGTGATGGGTGTCAACTCAGTTACTAGCTTAACTACTTATTATAAAAACATTAATGGCACAACTAGTAAAACTGTTAATGAAGTTATTAGTGAAATCACCAATGAAATCATTAGTAAAATTACTAGCAAAATCACTAGCAAAATCATTAACGAAATCACTAGTGAACCTACTAGTAATACTACCAGTGAAATTATCAGCAAAGCCACTAGCAAAACAATCAGCAAAACCATACCAAGTTTTATATCCCCCATTTGGGACCATTTTTCTTTATTAACAAAAAAACGAAAGGCTAAATGTGATTATTGTAAAGGTTTACTTAGTCATAAAAAAGGAACTAGGACATCTCACCTTTGACATCATTTTAATTCATGCCAAAAATATAAAAAGTTGTTATCTAACCCAAATAGGTTTAGTTCAGGATCCAATGGACAAACAAAATTAAGATTTAATGTAAATCGAACATTTACAAAAGAAATAGTTAGAAAAGATATAGCTGATATGGTAGTTCTGAATGAACTTAGTTTTCAATTTGTGAAAAGGTGGAGTTTTCGAAAGCTGATTAGGGGACTATTACCTGATTTTATTGTTAGTACTAATTCAATAAAATAAGACATTATGAACACTTATAATAAAAGAAAGATACTGATTAAAAATATACTTTAAAATGCTGAAGGCAAAATCTCTCTTATATGTGATTGTTGGATATCTCTTCAACAGCTTGGATACTTGGCAATTACTGCCTATTTTTTTGATAAAGAATGGAATCTTATTTTTATTATACTGTCATTCGTATTAATTCCTTATCTCCATACTGGTATTAATATCGCCAATTGCATAAAGGCTAAGATGGATAGATAGTCTATTACTACTAAGGTAATTATTATTGATTTTAGAATTGCATTAAGGTTAGGGTTTAATAAATTAATAATGCGATATAATTTTATATAATTTATTATAGTTGCAAACTATTACTCTTGACAATGCAGCTTCGAATGATGTCACAATCTGTGAACTAGCTAACAATATTTCTTAAAACTCATTCATAGAAATTAACAAAGATCTTTTTCATAATCGCTGTTTCACTCATATTTTAAATATTATTATAAAAAATGGGTTAAAAGGAATTTTGAAGGTTATTAAAAAGGTAATTGCATGTCTATTTAGAGAGTATTATGGGTTATCGAACGATTTATTTGTATGGCACACAAGCAAATCGTTTGGTAACCCGTGGTATCCTATATAAGAATTTTGATTAAGATTAATTAAATAGTATATAAAAATATAAATTGTCAAATTTATTTAGATTCATAGTTGTACTAAGGCAATACACACATCACCAAAATGGCGCCAAATATTCTTAGATATTTGTGAATCTGAATCTGTAAAGCCTACAATTCCATTACTAGATTGTGAGATGCATTGAAATTCTACTTATTTGATGTTGCAATCAGTTATTGGAATTAAGAATATTGTTGTTAGAATGAAAGATAGAGATAAAACATTTCCTAATATACCTGATAATAATGAATGAAAAAATATAGAAGTGATTTGTAGTATTTTAAAACCATTTTATGATTGTAAGTTTTTTGGTAAAACTGCTGATGAGTAGTTTAGCAGATTATTCGATTCTTATATGTAATTTTTGAACAATTTTTGTATATAAAAATATATATTATTGAATAAATAATTTAATTTTATTTTTTGATTTATTTTTTGATTTTTACCAAAAAAAATAGATACTCTAAAAGCATCAGCAAATTCTTATCTGATGCTTAATAGTACTTTCACTTTAATCTGAAATATTCATACTTATCTTCTGTGTATGAAATTCCATTCAAATAGCTTTATTTGTGATATGTGTCAACTTATGATTAGGAAGTTTAATAAGTATTGGGAAAACTGTAGTACTTTACATATGATCACATGTATCCTTGATTCCTGTTACAAAATGCAATTTATTAAATATTATTATCGTAAAAAAGAAAAACTGAAATTTTATGATCTTAATGAAAAATTACAAGATATTCAAACAAAGTATGTTTATTAATATTTAATAAATTGCACAAGTTGAATCAATGAATAATGGGTATATATCAGATACATAATGAGAAACTGGTTTTCTGTTATGTACCTGGTATGTACTTATTATTTATTAATTCAACCTGTATTAGTTTTACAGATTTCAATTATTTTATACTAATGTTTAAAAAAATTAGATTTGAAGATATATACTTTCAAACTTACTATCCTTTATTAACTGTTGCATATTTGCCAAATAATGAGATTATCATCGATACTAAAAATGATACATTTGAGAACCATGTTAATGATTTTTTTGAATATGCAGTAAAGAAGACACGGGCTAGTGAAAATGATTCATTTTATGAAGTCAAACAATATTTGGATGAACAAATTGCAACAAGAACTACTAATATTTTTGAATGATAGAAATGTAATAAAGACCAGTTCCCTACTTTATTTGCAATGGCTCGAGATTTTCTTTTTATACCTGCTACTAGCATTGTTTCTGAACAAGCATTTAGTTGTGCAGGTCATATTATCGATAAGAGTCATACTTTGTTAGATTCAGACATAGTAACTGCATTAATATGTCAAAGAAATTGGCTAGAAGTGTCTGAAAAATTCAGTTGGGATTTATAAATCTATTATAGAACTGTTGCTTGTAAAGTAATAAAGTACAACTTTAATAAATTTTAAATAAAAATATGTTTTTAAAAAATAATTGTATTTAGTTTTTTTTTCTTTTTCTTTGATTACAAATTTAATAAAAATCGATTTTAATTTAATTATTATGATTACGATCGTAATTGCCAATTTATTATAAATCTGAGCTTGACACAAACTCAGATTCACGATAAATTAGCTAGTTTAGCAATCGTGATTGCAATCACAATCACAAACTGCAATAAATTAATTTTATCTCTAAGCTCTTGTAAATAGCATGTTGATTTTGCATTCATAAGTACATTTGGCTTTTTTACTTTTCCTGGAGTGACATACTTAAAATACAAAAAGATATAGCACATAATTTTTAATTATCGTTATAGTCAGAGAAAATTTTGGCATTCTAAAATGTCTATTTATATTTTTAATTGGTTATATTGAGGAGGTCATATTATTTTTTGCAAAGCATAATAACTATATATATAACTCTAAATTTGCTATACAAGGTGTCAAAAAAAAGCATTGTTCATTATATATAAAGTACTAAGTGAGCGAGTGAGATCAATATGATCTTATTTTAAAGTTGTAATTTTTTTGTTATAACTACTTGCAAGTATTTTGTAGGAAGTTCAGAGGGTATCCTAGCTTATATGAAACAGGTACAAGTACTAGACTCTAAACCCTAAGGCAAAAGTAGGGCCCGAATAGTTGAGCCCTTGTATAGGTAAGTAGGGTCAAGGTATTGCTAGTACCCAGCCCTACCTGGCTCTTGCAGAAGCCTACCTGCAGCCCAGGCTGGACCAGGCTGATGAAAAAATTTAACCATAAATGTGGGCCAGGCTGGGTCACAAAAATAGGCAATTTGCAAGCTCATAGTCATGAGACATGTCCTGATTGATATTTTTTTACTAAAAGATCTTATATGAGGCATTATTTATTAAAACAGCTCTTTTTTGCAATTTTTCAAAAAATACATTTTTATTGAATTCTTATAAATTTTAACATTATTGACATTTTTTAATTATAAATGAAAGTTGATTTGTATAATAAAAAAATAAGATAATGTTAAAAAAAAATTATATGAGACTGCTTAAGGCATCTTTCACAGTATCATCATAAAATTCTACTATCATGTGATGATCAAAAAATTCTTTAAAGTTCATTTAGGTTAGGGTTAGCATTTCTAATAAGGCTAGTTACTAGTGGATTTATAGTAAAATTGTTTAAGGAATTTTTTTTGTTAGAGGCAAAAGATATTTTCTTATTCAAATTTTTGAGAAATATGCAATTTTTAACAAAATAATGCTCTTTTAACATTTGTTTTGAATTTTCCTGATCGTGCTATGTTACACCAAATCATGGCTTATTGTTGGTCAATTTGCCATCTATTATTACATAATAGTAGAATTTTTATAGTGATACTGGAGCATGGTAGACAATATTCATTACATAAACCTCTCATATTTGAAATTGTGATTCAGAGCTAACTTAGAGCTAGTTTTGTCCAATAAAAATGTAAGATTTTTATAATATAAGTTACGAATATTATTTTACTGTTCTTTCATATTATAGTTTGCTTTTAGACTACTTATATTTTTAAAACAATTTATTTCATACAGTAAACTTACATTATTGTTATTATTATATACAATTCAATTTATTAGAGTCAAGAGCACTATTTACTAATGCTTTTACTTTTACCATCCTCAATTACATTAGTAAGTTAACAATTTTTAAAATTATTAATCAAAGTCAAACAGTAGACACTTTATTATAATTTATAGTTACATGTTTAATAATTTTACAGATTATATATAATTAAAGAATAATGATTTCAAAGTATATAATTAAAGAATATAATTTTAAAGTATATAACTAAAGAATAATGATTTCAAAGTATATAGATTAATTTAAAATATTGCAACAAATATGTATATGTTAGTATTTGAGAAATTGGATCCTAAAAGAAATTATTATTAGATATATGGTATCAAACATGTGATTTTTAAAAGGAATTACTAAGATAAACAAGCAAAAACAAGAGAATTGATGTTTGTATTAAAGAACTTAAGTTAAAACTATAAAACATGAAAATGTAATTGAATAGATTTCTTGTAATATTTTAAAAAATAATATCAACTTTTTTTTTTTGGTATTAAGATGACCTCTTTGGTTTTTTGACTTTTATTAATCACTTATCAGTATTGTGGTTCAATGAACTACTACAGG